GCATAGCCTACATATGCTTAAGCATGAACATATGTAAGTTTAAAATGTTGAAAAACATGAAAATTCTTTACTTTGTCTAGCTCTTCCTGCCATTTTTTTCCAATGAATTTCATCTTTAAGCGCACCGCATTCCAAAGAATTGAAGTGAAAGCATGGCCAAAAAATAAATAATAAAATAAAATAAAATAAATAAATAAACAAAACAAAATAGAATATAAACTTTTTGAGAAAGAATTTCAGCATTTTAAAATGAATAGTATTGGATAAAAGTAGGTAAATAAAAAAAATTTTAATACATATTTGACACATCGTTTGAAAAGCTATTTTAATTTTTTTATTCACTTATATTCAATCTGACAACCCTCGCATTTTTGTTACTGTGGAACTGTGTAAAATATTGTCTTGTTATATCGGCTGGCATTGTTATATACTTTGTAATATGGCTGCAAGGTGAATTTTAAAGGGGCATTTTTAATAATAATAATAATAATAATTATAATAGTAATTTTATTTAAAGAAGGTAAGACATGAATTGAAGATATAAAAAAACACAGACAAAAAAAACACACATACATGTAGCTTCATTTTAAATGTAGCCTTCTGAACAATATATAAAAGAAACACAAAAAAAACAACAGAACAACAACTATATTTAGAGGTGTAACAAATTTATTGGTAATCAGAACAGATTTTTTTATTAACGTATACAATACATGTATCTTGTTAATACAACATCCAATTAAATGCATACAATGATAATGTCTATCCGCCTTACATACAGATATTTACTGTCTGTTACTATTCAGGTACTTTGTTCTCTAAGGAATTGTTTTTAATATGCGTCAAGATTGTATCAGAATTTTTATCAATTATTTTTTTTTAAAGTACTAAACGTGCGCATAAGTAAGACAGTAAAATTCCCATTTGAGAGCCTTCTAGCGGTATCTCTAAAAGCAATCTATTATTCATTATGACAGTTCTAGATAAACAAAGCAGAGGGTTAATCTTTGATGATGTATAGCAAATTATGATATTTGATATCCATGTAATAGAAAGAGCACCGAAACACGAGGCTATCTGATTTGTACGAGGGGGCGATTATTAATCAGATTGCCGAGTGTTTTGTTGTTTTCTTTTTCTTTTGTATCATAGTCAAACATAAAAGCACGTTCCCTGTTGTCACAATATGAAACCCCGGCAAAAATGAACCAATGAACGAACATCTGAATATGACATTACTGTCGCTTTCCCTTTCTCTGCCGTCACAATATGTAAATCCCAGCAAAAATGAGCCAATCAATGGGCATGCTCTGGACTTCGGATAACTAATACCCGCACTCCAGTTAACGCACTGTGCATGTAAATGTATACGATTTAACCCTGACACATTTTCAACAGAAAGGTCTCCAAACTATGATACAAAGAACAATAACGTCTATCTATTTCGGTAACAATGATTAAACATATGTCTGGCAATCGTAATCAATACCGATCTACAATTGTAACCAAATCCGAACTAATGTCAACAGGTAGACATTTTTTACTTAACCACAATAATAAATATAAAAGTAATGTACTCTTTAAAACCTATAATTTTACATAATTTGGGTGGACTTTTTCTCGATATGTTGAAATAAATTTATTCAGCAACTCTTAGCAGTAAATCACTATTAATTTTGTAGTGTTCCGAAATATCGTATCCGTTCTGTTTATTCGAGGTTTGACGGAAAGAGCCGAAAAGATGCGAATGCGCCAAAAGCACAAGTAAATTGACACTGATTCAAACGGGCGTTAAAAACATAAACAGTGTTATGTTTTGACTCATATATAAGGGGTAAGACCATTTTGTTACTGTTACATAATGTTATTATATTAAACAAATTAATAGCAATATGACACACATTTGCTGTATTTACATCTATATCATTTTCTGAAACTCACTTTCGTTTTTAAAATTGTGAAGCAATTTAAAATATTTGAAAAAACTGCTATTTTGGGGATTATCTTTGTAAGTCTGAATTTATTCAAAATGCAGGTAACTTCTGGTGTTCTTTAAACTACCAACTTTATATTGTTTACATGATTTACATCGAATTGACAGTATTAATTAATTTAACTTTCGTTTCCACATCCTCTAAGTAACGGTTAGCAGCTTATTGTATTTATGTTTATGAGGTTATTATACTGTGAAAGTTATCTGAACCTATATGTATGTACATTTGAAAATAGGTTATTATTAACTTATTTCATCAAGTTTTTTTTTTAATTTGTACATGTACAGGTGCCATGTTTATAATGTATGTACGATAAGCAACTTATTTTCGTCCAAGGAATTTAGAAATGCTTCTTTTTCATGGAACCATAACTCAGGTTACAAAAAGGCAAATTGTGTAATTTTTAACCTGGATTTTTATAAGAGGTAACTTCCACGTTGGTTTCCCAAAAACCCAAAACCTATAAATAGCTTTCTATAATTAGGTTCATGTACAAATATTTATTTTTTACAGTTGCACTGCCGATTGCATTTTTCCTTTAATGATTTACTGTTAGAATAACAAAATATCTTTATACTACAAACGAGATCTATAAATACAAAACACACTTTTCAGACATCTAATAAATAAATTCAAAACGCTATACACTTGCCGATATTGTTAGCTTTTACCGATTGTCACCCTATCATTTGTATGTCGTATTTGGGAAATAAACATCCAAATGAAACTTATCAATGGAACATAAATCAAGTTTATTTTTGAAAATGGGACTTAACTGAAATTGTTTATACCTTTCTAAAAAGTATTTAAAAAAAGAAAGAAAGGAGTAGTTGATTGGTTACTTGATGTACAGAATCATTGCTTTATTGTCCTTACGAAGCTCGACGCCCTTATGGAATGAAATCAGATTTTGTGAAAGGGCAATTGCAACTTCTCGGGCCTTTACATCGGTCATAAAAGCCGATCATGCCGATTGGTATGAGGGTGTTTTTGATTATCTAAAATGAAATGCCGCAATATGTACAATGAATAGCGAACTGGAAGATTTGGCAATGAAAACATATTCAAATGAAATTATCTTATCCGTCAATTCACCGCGCTCTTCGATATTTTAAGTAATCATTATGTATTACACATGTATGTTATTGCTGTTCTATGTATATACTGATGACCTTAACACTTTAAAAGTCCGAAAATCTATTTTGTAGAAGTAGTTTTGTTTAATGAAACGGTCATTCGTGTCGCGCTATGGTAATAAATAATGAACTGGAGAATTTTGCAGGAAATGAAATGCAAACATATTCAAACAATTAATTGCACTCTTTATTAATCTATAGAAAAAATTTAGTAGGCCATTTTTACGATTTGTTATATCATGGCATTATCATTTTGAAATTGTAGGTTCTTTCTGGGTTTTTTACGGCACTTATGACATTTTTGCAGTGAATATTTAAATAGACCTAGTTCATAACTTTAAATGTAGCTTTTATTTTGGCGTTATGCGACAGTTAACAGGTCTAGCAGTAGTATACTATAAAACCTATTCGCTGTTCAAGTCTCTTTACCTAAAATCGACCCTGATTTTTCTATATATTTTGTTTGAAGGCAATCGGTTTTATGGTAGTTTGAGTGGAATGTTGATTTGCCGAATTGTGACATTTAAACAATCTTCAATTTTAACATGAGTTGATATGAATGTAAACACTTGTGGGTCAGACGAATAATTCATTAAAATAGTAGATTAACCTCCCAATAAATCAATGATCAGACTTTCTATTTTGTTCCAGAGAAAATATCACATGAACTTGAAATTCTATCAAATAACCAATATTAATGATGATATCCAAAATACCCCCTACATTGTTTAAATAAACCTCTACCATATAGGGGGTATATATTTTGGATTTTATAAACCTATATACAATGTATTTTGGATATTATCGTAAATATTGAAAGAATTTCAAGTTCATGTGGAAAAACATTTAATCTCTAGCATGCCTATCAAAGTTCACGAGGAACACTGTCTTTTGCCGTTCATTCATAAATGATATACAATTTTGGTAATATTAACTAATTAACCATTGAAAGGTTTATAAGAATATCTGGTCATCAGATATCTTCTAGTTCATCTTCTCTTGCTGCAATTGTTGCTTGGACGCCCTTTGATGCTGTTAAAATGAGTAATTTTTCAATGTATGCGCCTACAGTGTAACGCTAACATTTGCGCGTTTTAACGCTATGTTTATATATGGCACAAATGACGTGACGTCAAAGTGTTATTTCACTATAAAAAAATAGTGTAATATCGCTTTATTACACTCTTGCGCCGCAGTTTATGTGATAAAAATCAATACTATATAAAATGGCAATTTTAGCCAATGTTAGTAAAACAGTCGTGATAATTCTTTTTTGCTCTTTTACATAGGTTCGATATGGCGTCAATTGTAAAAGACGATGGATCCAAGTGTCCGATTTGTTTCGAGATTTATAGGGTGCCGAAAGCTCTCGTTTGCTTACACACATTCTGTGAGGTCTGTATCCATGAATATGTTCTTAAAAGCAAAGAAAAAGGCCTACTGTGCAATGGTATAGAGTGCCCACTCTGTCGCTTTGTTACACCCGTAGAAGAAAAAACTTCACCTGAAACATGGGCAAAAGGTTTGCGACCAAATTTTGCTCTTGCGTCGCTTCTTGACAGCACAACAATCAGTCGAGCTTCCATCAAAAAAATAAAGTTCCGTAACAAATTTTAGTTATCACATGAAATAATCATATCCTCCATTCATTTAAATAATAAAACATTATAATAATATTATCTCTTTAGATTATCTAAAAATAAACACAAATAGATATTAAGAAACTTATCGTCAAAGCCCAACATACAGTTCAATTTTCATTATATTGAACAAAAAACATTTATTTGATTATTACAATTAAATCACTTTGTTAATGATACCACCTGTCCACAAATACCAGTCTGCTATTTTTGTTTCCTAATTACAATACAGTTTACTGCAGAATATAACAAAGATTGCGTCAGTGTTTTGTTCAGTTTGTAATGAAAGAATGTGTGAAAGTTGCAAAAAGGTCCATGATAGTTTGCAATTGACGAAAAGTCATGAATCCGTTGACATAGATAGTAAAAAAAAATGTTGAATTATTAACAACACTAAGGACATATGAGAAATGTGATAATCATGGTAAGAAAATAAAGTTTTATTGTAAAGATGATGATAAACTTTGTTGTAGCACTTGTGCTATTGTTACCCATAGAGCATGTCAAGGTCTGGCTGAAATAAGCGAAATGGCAATGAATAGACAGGTCAAGCTGCAAGGGTCTTTATTAAGAAAACAAATCGCCGAAATGGAAAATACCATGAAATTGTCTTCAACTCATTTCGTCAACGAAAATAAGCATTTAGCTACCGAAGCTGAAGAATTATTGACTGAGTGGAATCAGGTTAGAGAAAAGGTAAACAAACGTTTAGACGAATTTGAGGATGGGCTAAAAGAAGAATTAAAAGATATTCAGTCCACAGAATCATCTGACATCATTGCAAATGCTGTCAAATACAATGAGATGGCAGAGGAAATGCGTCGTTTACTGCATGTTCTCGAGTCTATTGAGGAAACTGGTACTGAAGAACAACAATATGTTGTAATGAAAAAGATATATGATGAATTCATGGTTCGACAATCCGAAACAGAACAAAAGTTTGGTGAAATGAAATCACTGAAATTATCATTAGAGCTTCCCAAATCAATTAGTGATTTGTTGAGCTTACCTTCAAAAAGTGTTTCGGTGACAACGGAAACAAGTGTAAAATGCATACCAAAATGTTCTGCAAAAACACTGTCTGTTTTAGCTGAAACTGATATAGAAAAAGATAATGATGATGACTCTGAGCCATTTTATCGAGGACTAGGTTTTCTGAATGATGACAGAATAGTTGCTGTTGATCATAATAATAACAAGTGTATTCTTATGGACAACAAATTGAATAAACTAGCAGAAAAACTTTTGCCAGTTAAACCACTGAACCTTGCTGTGACCGATGATGATTGTGTAATAATAACAACTGGTGCAGCAAAGAAACTTTGTATTTGTCAAGTGAATGCAGACAATACTATCAATGAGAAAGAAATAATCTCTGTAAAGTACAGCTGCGATTCTATTTCTATTACAAGTGACAACAAATGTGTCGTTGGCACTTACGGTATTGATGTTGGATTAGCTCATTTGCTGACCTTAAATGGAGAATTTGAAGAACTGCCCTATAATTTTGAAGGCAAATTCTTTGAAGGTAGTAGACAGTTTAGGAGTGTATACAATGAAAGAGACAGACAATTGCTTATAACAGAGTATGAACAAAGTACAATTCATGTATATAATCTTCAAAAAACTTGTAAAGTGGAAGACAGTAATATTGTAAATCCTGTAGGAATTGCACACTATTTAAATGACTTTTGACTGTCGATATACTAGATGACATGAATTGTCCTCGATCAATATGTATTTCGCCAAATAAAGATAAAATGGTAGTTTCCAACAACAAATCAGGAGAGAAGAAACTTCTTCTTTTAAAAATTCGCCTGTTAGTAAAGAAGCAAAAAGCGGTATGAATTCTTCGAGTTACTAGTAGTAATCCTTATAATTATTTAATCAATTTACTGAAAAAAAAACATGATGCCTTCCTTTCATTTTATTTCAAAGAACATACTTTGGTCTATATGATAAATGAAAGTTGTTGAACATTTCATTATAACCATTTTACATAACTAAATATTATAAAGATTTTTGACAGGTTAAATGGCTGTTTATAAACGGTTATTAAATTACTTTTGAAATTTGCCCGGACTACTCCACTTATACTACTATACAATATTAATGAACCTTTACAAGATTGATTGGTCGCTCAAGTACTTGCGCATATTTCACGAGTTTTCCGGTTGAATGATTTGGGGTTGAATGATTTTTGACTGAGTAATTACCCGTGAACGAAAAAACGCGTTTTGCCCTGTTAATGTTTTTGTGTATGTCTCCTGCTGCACAGTAGCTGCAACATGAAATTGGCTATGTGGGGCGAAACATGTAATCGCTCTTGTTGAGTAATGCATATATTCAGGACCTGTATTATTCTAATTATAAGATAAGTGGATACAATGGGAATTTCACCGCAACAAATTTGTTATGTCAATGTTTGTTGTTTAATAATCTGTTATTGAAATAAAAGCTCATGGTAAGTATCTATCAAATATATATGCATAAGAAAATATCTTTTTAATTTTATTGCTCTTCTTTGAAACCCATAAACAATATTTCATTCTTAACTCCTTTTAGAAGGGGAAACAAAAGAAGTTTAAAATTAGTTCACTCCTTAAAATTGTTTTGATATGGGAACAACATTTTAACCTTAACAAATATTTGTTTATAAAGTTATACTATTAGAATATGAGTAAAATCATTAGCATTAAAATAATGAATACTGTTTTTCGTATTTTCTGTATTGTTTAATTGATTTTTGTGTCGCCTTGGTTACTTTTGTCGGTGGTGACGGCGTCGGTGTCGGCGGCGTTTTCTTAGGCTTGTCCGGAGTTTAACTCAGTCACTATAAATCGGATTGACTCCAAACGTGGTATGCATGCTTCCTTTAATGACAGTGCATAAGAATCGATACTTCTTATTTTTTGAGTTATTGCCCTTCGAATATTGTCATGCTTTATTTTGTCCGGGCTATTTCTCCCTAACTTTAAAAGCTATGGACTTGAAACTTCACATGATGATAGACCTCATTGAGAAAAAGTGCAGTGCATAAAAACCGGTACCCTGTACTTCATGATTTTATTAGTTATTGCCCTTTGTTATTCTCATACTTTATATATTTTTTCCTACCCTTTAAAAGTTATGGACTTGAAACTTCATTGGATGATGGATCTCATTGAGAAGAAGTACAGTGCACAAAAACCGATACTCTATTCTTCATGATTTTTGAATTGTTTCTCTTTTTCATTTTCATATTTTATTTTTCTCCGGGCCAATTTTCCTACACTTTAAAAACCATTGACTTGAAACTTCATAGGATGTTGGAAAATGCACTTCATTGTTTTGAGTTATTGTCCTTTGTTAATTTTCCTACTCAATAGGCTTGTCCAGAGCATTACTTCATTACTCCAAATTTGAAATTTAGTATGCAAGCTTTTTTCCTTAACCTCAAGTACAGTGCACAAGAATCCATCACAGAGGTCTACGTTTGATCTGTCAGTGTAAAACTTTTCCATGGTATTTTTATTATGCCCCGAAGGGTGTCATATAGTAATCGCACTGTCCGTCCGTCCGTCTGTCCGAGCAAACATTTTGGGTTTAGGGGCTAGATAACAGTAAAGAGAGCAAAAGAGAACAATAGGTTCATTCCGTGATCAAAGGGTTAGTGATCAATGGGCTAGTAGCCCTTAAGAAAACAAAGAAAATAACAAAGAAAACAGCCCCTAAACCCAAAATGTTGGAACGTCCGTCCGACCGTCCGGTAATCTTGTCCGCGTATCAGCGGGAAATTCAGTGATACTTCACAGGAGTGATCAGTACTATCCCTATCTGTGCATATCGCAGGCACGTTCCGCTCCTCTGCACAAAATGGCCACCAGAGCTATCAACAGACAAATCTTGTCCGAGCTTCATCTCCCAAACCACTTGGAGAATTTCAGTAAAACTTTACAGGAGTGATTACTAACATCACTTGTTGTGCATATCACCGGCATGTTCCGCTCCGATGCACAAAATGGTCGTGAGAGATATAAATAGAAAGACATTGTCCTTCTTTCATAGGAGGGGCCTCCGTGGCCGAGTGGTTAAAGTCGTTGACTTGAGATCACAGGTCCCTTACCACTGTAGGTTCGATCCTCACTCGGGTCGAAATCTTTCATGTGAGGAAGCCATCCAGCTGGCTTACGGAAGGTCAGTGGTTCTACCCAGGTGCCCGCTCGTGCCTGAAATAATGCCGGGAGGGGCACCTGGGGTCTTCATCCACCAATAAAGCTGGAAAAAAGTCGACGAAAAATCTCGGCGGGACGCTCTAGGATGACCCGACTTGAGTGTACGGTCGCCCATATGGGCTTTCCGGCGGCGACCTTAAATAAACGCATCAAAAAAAATTTTTAAAAAATCTTTCATAGGTTAAACTGCTGGTCAGTGAAACTTCTACGAAGTAAGCACGTTCCGCTCCGCTGCACAAAATTGTTTTAGTAAATTGTGTTTACTTTTTCTCCTACACTTCTAATGAAATAAATGAAATTTTAGGAATGATATTATCAAAGGCTGTAGGGTGTATATTTCTGTTTTGGCATATATTGCGGATTTTATGTCAAAGCTTCCTTTCGGTTTCAGTGAAAGCTCTTGTTTCTGATAATACAACAGTTTTATAATCCTGACGTAACATTGTTACAATCAGTTCACGAAATAATTATTCGTTTTCACGAAATATAAATTCGTTTTTAAGAAATATTAATTCGTAATTTCGAAATATTAATTCGTTTTTTTAGGTCATTTTGAGCTTGACAAAACCTACTAATCTCACAAATGGGTCATTTACAAGCCTGAATCAACATTGCGATTATGAACCGAAAGGTTCTCAAGTTATTGTATTAAAGTGAACAGGGTTTTTAAGTGAGAAGTCATTCTCAATCCAAAGTATCCTTTTTTCCCCATTGTCAAATACATGTTCCCATCAGCAATGTTTTAATTTTTGAGGCAATTAATCTTCTCTGACATGTTTCTTTAAACAGAAACATGCTATATTATTACTTTGTTTTATCATATACATTAGTGAAACTAAACGGATTTTCACTAACCTAATCAATTTATATAAGTATATTGTAATGATCTAGAAAATTTTACCTGTTTATTTCATTCGATCACTTTCACTTTCTGTCATTCATTGATCCTACTTTCGTTTTTGAAGCTTTTACTGGCAATAGCACATTAGTTGACTGGTGTCTCAGTAAATTTTCACAAGACATCAGATCAATGTCACGTATCATGCCAGATTTTATTCTAGTATGTGAGTTAAGTTGAATTCCCTATATGTTTTCCATGCCAGAATATGTTGTGTCAAGTGTTTTCACAATTTGTTTATCTTTCCATGTAATTTGAATAATCCCTCTGATAAGTCACTATTTGTGTTGCATATCAAATAAGTCCATGTTTATGAATGTTTCTGCAACTTTTCTAGAAACATGTTAAATCCTTCACATTTGAGTATTTTAAATAAAAGTGTAGTTATAAAATCTTTGGCACTGGCCAAACTAGATCATTTAATTATGAGTATACCTAATCCGCCTTTAGAAAAAAATAATCTAATACAAAATCTTTTCTTCAAATTTCTCTGGAATGAAGGTATGGATAAAGTTAAGAAGAATATAATCCCTATATAAACCCTTTTGTGTAAAATAACTAAATCAACCAAGTTTATAACGTTCTTGATTAATTAGTTTAAGATTTCTGTCCTCATTGAGCAATCTGTCATCACTAGCGAAGGTAATATGGTGTGTCAATTTGCTGCTAAATATCACATGTTTCGAATATAAAACTTACTATCCGCCATAAATGGTCTCTTAAAATTCACACACACGCGCACGTACGCACAGACCCACACACCAACGCACGCACATACACACATTCACACATAAAGACATAAAACGTTGGTTATTAATTCGTAATCAATATTTTATTGCGTAAACGTGTTAAAAGTTATACTGTTTTAGTTATAAAGGGTTTATCAAATTACTTTATAAATGTTTATCTACTATTAATTACTTCTATTCTTATTTTAGTCAATACATGTATATTAATTGTATTCGGCATGTGAAAATTTTCAAAAGTGTACATGTGTAAAATAAAACATTCCCATTTTCTTGATTTTAGTATATTTTTCAATTCTTATCATTACCTACGTTTCCACCAATCATAACGGTGGCACAGAGGTGACATTTATCTCGTGCGCACGAGATACTATGTCGTGGCCACGGGTTACTACCACGGGCCACCTACAACCTTTTCGTGTCGACTAGCTAGTCACAGCAAGATCTATGATCCCGTTCTAAAATGTCCTGTATATTGTATATCGTCTTATCTTTAAGGAGACATATACACTGACATTTTGTACTACTTGTGGGACTTTCATTGAATAACAAGTAAGTGTCATGTAAAATGATTCCATGATCGATTGCGAATGAACAGGGATGTTACAAACAAACTAGATTAAACCATTTGCATATAGATTTATAGATTCGAATATTGAATTATACTTAAAGCCGGTAATTCGGATCGTGAAACATCAGTATCCTGAACGTGTACCACTGCCAACCATTAATATATTAAATCAAACTACGCCCGTCACATATTCCAGTGTGTCGTACTGGACAAACTTAAATGCTCTTACATTTTCTGGACTAGACACCAAACACCTCGAGGTCTGAAGAAATTGTCCTATCACTTCTAATTATAATGCTGAGTATTTGGTTACGACTCTGTTAAGGATTTCTTTCAACACCTGAAAGACGTTATCCTAATCACTGATAAATAATGTGAAATAAAACCCATCATTTTATCATTTATATTTTTAAATGATTTATGGAAGAACAGTTCAAGGTCACAAGTAGCAAAGATTGTTTCAAATTATCGCCTTATCTGATATTCAAATGCATGTAAAAGGATAGATGGATATATCCAGAATTCCATGTTTCCACTACGTCTTCACTAGTGTCAAAAATAGTGAGAACAAAGATCAAAAGGCAATGTGACGTTCACAGAACGTTGGCCCTGACACATATAGCCACTTTAGCAGGGTACTCGGATAGCACATACGACTTTTAGCTTCCTTGTGCATCGAGTCTTTTTTATATGAAGTCCCTTTCATAATAATGTTATTCAAAAATCATTTTAAGTACAATAATGTAAGTCATTGTTCATAAAAATGGAGATCGGTAGCTTTAAAAAGACAGTAAATAAGATAACTGTTACCTTTCATTCTGCACATCTAAACGCAATTAAATGGTCATAAATCACAAACATTGCAAACATTGCCAGGAAGGTCAGAATTCCAACTTGGGTATCCGCTCATATCTATAATTTAGTATGGAGGTGAACCTCCGTGTTTTACATTTCAAATGAAACTGAAAAATCGTAGCGTATCTTTTTTACAGTGTCTATTTTATTCAAACCCCAACAAAAGGAAACGTTCAGCAAAAATTACTTAGCTTATTGACCTCTTTTTCATATATAGGGCATAAAAGATGCCAATCAAAATTTCAATTTGTCATAATGTATAGCAAATATATCTAACTCTTGATAACGACACAATGTCAGGAGTGTGATCACGCCAATCTGATAGTCATAGATTCAAACACTTTGCCAGCGGAGGTTTATCTTATCTTTCGACCTTATATTACACTTTGACATGTGCATTAGGTTAGATATTTTGGTATACATTTGTATAAGAGAAGGTCTTTTGTTCTAAACTGGTTAAGGTGAGGATAAGGCATACGTATCGGGGAAAATGAATGGACTATTGTATATACTTATAGCAGTTGGATCTTTATTCTGTAACGTTGCCGTTGCTATTGATAAATGTAGGTATTCATAAATATATACAATATGGAAGAAAAAAAACATTATTTATTTAATATATCTATGAAGACCAAGTAAAAGTAATACATGTAGTATTTTGTCCGCTATGACCTAAGCATGTGAAAATTTAAAAACAAAAGGTATATAGCCTTTCTAATATTTATATAGCAACCTGATTAGGTTCCTTTTTGTTTCATTTGTAATTTGAACGCCAAGTTAGTAGTTGAATCTACTTTTCATACTTTAAGATAATACACTTTCCATTTGACTAAACAAAATAACATGATTATTGCAGCCTGTCCTTTCAATCCAGTGGATATTGTTTTCGTTCTGGATGGATCTGGTAGTGAAGGTGCAGCTAACTTCAACAAACAGTTGATGTTTGTAGAAAATATTACAGAACAATTTGAAATAGGGGAAGATCATACTCGCGTATCATTGGTAACCTTCGGTACCGGGTCACATAACGAGTTTTACCTGAATCAGTATTATAATAAGACGCAACTGTTGTCACAAATAGCAAAGGCGCACTATCCTAATGGCGAGACAAATACACATTATGGTAAAGAGTTAATTAATTCTATTAATCAATTCATTTGCTTTAAATGAAATTATAGTCTATTGTCCGAAGTATGTAAATAGCCACCAGTTATTCTTTAATTTCTTAACCTAATTGCGGGGTAGTCAGTATACCAACTGCGAATTAGTGATTTAAATGGTATGCAAGGCAACTGTTTTGTGTTTTATCCATGTCGAATGAGTTGAAAACAAGATGTCCAAATGTCATTTCAAAATAATATTTGATACTGGTACAGAATGGAATGATGCTTGCAATCTCCGAAAACATCGAGTTGGTAACCAAAGGGAATCATTTAAAATAGTAAACCTGAACAAGGGCGAGACGAATCCACTCATGGTACCAAATTGGGCACAGGTCAGAATTGGGCAAATATCAAAGGAAAAAATGTCTAATAATATAACATATTTTGTGGGGTTTGCCAAAACAAGCACGATAAAAATTAGAAGTTCATAAACTATTTCATTCTCTTAGATAAGGCCAACAAGTAGTATTACTTATTTATAACATGCACTCCTGCACTTGCTTTCAAACTTCTAAACTAATTAATATGTTCGTGTTTTGATAATCTTTAGATGTTTGTATAAATCTTATATTGATTTAAAATAATATTGATATTGCAAACTAGGTTTGCAACATGTGGCGTTTTGATGGTTAACCAACATTTGATTTCTCTTACCATACATGCATAATAGTTGATATTTTTTGCATTGTTGCATAATTGTATTTCTAACAATTGCATTCATTTGAAATGTTATGTTGTTTTAAATTTGTATGTTTTACTATTATGCATTGTTCACATTTAGTCATTTAAATAGCATTAAATGACAATTTCACTATATTGTGTCTTTGTGTTTATCTGAAATCAAACTGAGAAAAACTTCGAAAACAAACAACCGACATACATAAATTATCATTTATTTTAAATAAATACATTTATGGATGCGACATATTATTGTAATTAAGAAATATAGTGGTGTTAGCCTACAATCCGGTTTTGCAATAGCAGACGGGTGTTTAGCCCACTGTCCGGATAGTAACTTAGTGGACAGTTTTTTAGATAGCACATTAACATAAATTAGCAGCCATTTTGTAAGAACAAAAAGTTAAGAAAAAGAAATTGTTAAAACCCACCCTCCTCTCCCAAATGAGGTGTGTTGTTGGTTAACCAATATTTGCAAATTTTTAGTTGATAACAATTTTTCTGAATGACATTTGTTCATGCATATTTATTTCTTTTTTGCATTGTTGCATAATTGCATTTGAATTGTTGCATAAACGGCGTTTTGATGGTTAACCAACATTTGATTTCTCTTACCATACATGCATAATAGTTGATATTTTTTGCATTGTTGCATAATTGTATTTCTAACAATTGCATTCATTTGAAATGTTATGTTGTTTTAAATTTGTATGTTTTACTATTATGCATTGTTCACATTTAGGCATTTAAATAGCATTAAATGACAATTTCACTATATTGTGTCTTTGTGTTTATCTGAAATCAAACTGAGAAAAACTTCGAAAACAAACAACCGACATACATAAATTGATTTAAAATAATATTGATACATTGTATTTATCTTAAATTTAAATTATGACAAAATATTTTCGGGAGAATAAAATATGTTGCTTACATGTAAACTGAACTTGAATATTTACAACAACACTTTCATTGTATAGCAATCAATTTTGTCCGTACTAACACGCTTACCGCCATGCATGGTGCGGAAAGAAATGTGACAAAACTTGTGATAGTGCTGACTGATGGACGGTCACTGGAACCTTCTGCATTACAATATTCCGTGAAGGAGTTAAAGGTTTGTTACTTTGCAATTTTAATTTACTTAAATATTTCTAATATATGTTTTGAGTTAGGGTTGATTAGGATAGGAGGTTGCCCTAAAGCCTATAGAAGTTAAGTTGAAGACTTTGTATTACGTTTCCTACCATGATATTCTCCCCGTAAAATGGGGGAAATCCATGCGAATCAATTATCCAGATATGAAACAGAAGGCCGGTTGGTTGTTAATAAAATGAGAGACAGACGTAAAATGGTTAAAGTAAGCAAACATTGAACAATGTAATTTTTTTGTACATTTATCGACCCATTTAATGCGATAGAAACAAATAAAAAAGCTAATAAACATCATTTGAATTGTATATACTTCTAAGCTTTTGCTAAGTATCATAAGTTGATTCTATATTATCACAAGTATAAAACAGATTTCTTTCCAGTTTTTAAAATTCTGATTCAGCAATATTTTGAGGCAGTTGCCTGACATGAATCCGTGTTAACCAATCTGTGACAAGTCGTCTGGGTAGCATGGAAAGGAAATATTTTCATGTGTTGATGGAGTGCACAATCACATCTCTTTTGTTATACGGCGACAGGCCCGGCTTATTGTCATTTCGTGGCTTACATTTCTAACATCTGTCACTTCGATATGGCGAATACTAACATTAGGCGGCATTTAAGAAAAGCACAGTTATGGAAGATTGCAGGGGTGGTACAGCAGGGAGCGACCTTCTACCAGAGTGGTGCGGGACTTGGTGTTCAGACACGTCGTGCAAGGTTTTCGACAGCAACTTCTCTTCGAAATGACTTACTAATGCTGCGGGGGTCCATGTTTCCATGCAGACGGTTCGTAGAAGGCTGCGTGAAGGTAATTTGCGATCGAGAATACCTGGCATACGTATCCCCTCGACGCGTCGAAATTGCCAGGCCCGTTTGTCGTTTGGAATGGACCATGGAGCACATACGGTGGACCTTGCAACACTGGAGGCACGGTCTGTTCACTGATGAGTCCATTTTCTGCCTAGACTTCACATATAAGCCTACTACTAGAGACTGAAGAAGACGAGGTGAGCGGTTTCATGCTGCAAATATTTGCTGGGCATGACCATTGCGGAGGTGGGTCAGTTATGGTATTGGGAGGTATCAGCTGGGATAGACGAACCGACGTGGTTGTGCTTAATAGAGGCACATTGACAGTTCAGTGATACATACACCTAACATGAATCCAATAGATATATGTGGAATGAGCTGAAGGTAAGAAATTCAACTCGTCAGCTGCAACCCAGAACCATCTAGGAACTTGGAGCCATTTTGGTCCGAGAATGGGCAGCCATACCCGTAAAAACGATCAGAAACCTAAAAGGGAGAATAATAAGGCGCTGCCAAGCGGTCATTGAAAGTCACGGGTCACGCATACGGTATAAAGTCTAAAACTGTAAACAACAACAAAAAATACAATTTAACAAATTTGAAAAATACGCTACATGTTCTGAAATCTACAGAAAAGGAGTCATCCTCTTCTTTAGCACAAAATCAGTGTAAAACTCCTTTATATGGTTAAATTCGTCCTTCAGCTGAATTGATAAAATAGTAAATCAATATTTAAAACCTTTCGCACGGCGTTAATAAAATTATCCAAAAAAAAAAATAAATAAAATTTTCACTCAAACATATGGTGCTTAGCAAAAGTTGAGTAGTATAACTTACAATAAAGTTTTCCCTTGAACTGTTCATTGTTTATTGACAGAAAAATCCACTTGTCACGACAATAGCTGTGGGAATAGGAGGTTCAGTAGATCCACAGGAATTACTCATGATTGCTAAAGATGCAAATCATACGTTTCAAGTGAGCTCATTCGATGCTCTGAACACTATTCAGGGTGAGGTGACAGACACGGCATGCAACGGTAACTAATATTTGAGGCATTTTTTCCGGCAGTAAGGCAAATGAATCTTTTTATCGTGTATTAATTTATATAGTTTATTATGTTAACTTATATTTTATTATAAAACATTTCTAAAAACAGTACAGATTTTGCGTCAGTTCAGTAACATTTCTTAAGTCTGGAATGTTCGATCAAATGTAACAAAACAGATGTTGGTTAACAATTTTATTCGTTGTTAATTATCTAAACATTCAATAATTTTACATCGGCAAGTTTCTCAATTTTTAAAACATAATTTACCGGTTTCAACATTAGAAATAAAGCATAAATTTACAAATTATAACTTATTAAAATCGATAGAAAACATATTGGAAACATTTTAATTGAACATTTTGCTATGGTTGAAATCACTTATAAAATATACCAAGTCATTTTTTCTTGCAGCATGTAACAACATCTTTTCGGATGTTTGTTTCGTTCTTGACTCTTCTGGGAGTGAAGGCGCGATCAATTTTCACAAACAGTTGGAATTTGTTAACATTGTTGTCAACGAATTCTCCTTCGAAGATGGTGCTCAAACACGTGTTTGTCTCGTCACGTTTGCAAACAATGCACACACAGAATTGCATCTAAGAAACAGTATTAATAAAGAAACTATTATGTCTAATGTTCTAAAAGTGCCATGGAGGTGAGATATTCCTAGCCATTATAAAATTCTCACTTATACCCCGCCATATTACTTTTAAGTTTCAACCACATGATGTCAGTGTTATCATTCTAAGGCAAAACAAAAATTTACTGGTATTTATTGAATCTGAAATGTACTTTATAATTAGAACATGATATTTCTTCTACCAAACTTATAGACTCGGCTAATTTCGTTTTATACCATATCCATTTGGACAATGTCGTCTCTTTCCGTATCGTTTTTTTTTTGAAAACTTTCAGTTGACAAAACATTGTGTCGGTGTAGGTACTAACACTTATTGCATTTTTAAAAGAAAGATAAACACCTAATTATTTATTTTCCACGACCTACTAAACTTTTAAATAAAATATTTATTAAATATTTTAAATTGAAGCAATGGTGAAACGATGACAAACAAGGGGCTTGATAATGCCAGAAATGAACTTCACCGCAGTATCGGGAGTAAAGTAGTAATTGTATTGACTGACGGACGCTCAACAGAACCAGATTTGACACAGCGCTCCTCTGAACATTTACACCGGTAAGATATTAATCAGTTAATTAATTAATTACCTGAGAGACTAACATTTGCAATTTGTCAGAAACCAGTGTAAAAGTTCTCCTTAGATTGAAGTGTCTTTATGCACATACAATGGCATATACTGAGTGAATAAGTGACAGTCAAAATAAATTTACAGAATAATGTCACTTTTAAATTGTTACTTAATTAGCGAAACAGTAGGGCAGTGTTTGTGAAGTGCATTTTGTAATGTATTTATATAGTTGACAGCTCTCTTAATCGAACATTCCATTTTGTCATTGTTAAAGTTTGTGATAGTGACTGACTGACAAACGCTATTAAAAACAATATTGTTGTCATGTATATGAGGTTTAATATGCCTTTAAACTAAACAGTATTGCTTATTAACAGACAAATTCAAAAAATACTCTACATACATGTGTGTGCATATTTTTATATTTCAGTACCGGTATTGAAACATTCGTCGTAGGAATCGGTAATAATGTTGATAGAAACGAATTAAGGGTAAGGATATTATATGTTATTTTGGTTTTGGAGTGATATATGTGGATATATTACCTGACAAAATTTTATATCACCCGAGCCGTTAGGCGAGGGTGATATTTTATCTTGGCAGGAAATATATCCATAGATATCACTCCAAAACCAAAATAATAATTTTATTACCCTTCCCCTGACGAGTTAAGACGATTTGATATAAATCATTGCTACTTCTTATGAAACGTCGAAATAAGATTCCCTTTAGGGTACCCCTTCACCACGATATGACGTCACATAAATTCATGACGTATGTTTTTTCGAACCAAACGAATGTAAACAAGAGGAAAGGAGTAGTCTGTTGAACGCACTTTTTTGTTTACAACGTTGTGTACCCAACTCGGAAATTTAGTGTGTATATTACACGTCTGGCTCGGTAATATCAATTTCTTTCGGAAAGCCAATATTCAATCAAAAAGGAGGAAAAAATCTGGAAGGGTAATAAAGTTATTATATCCACATTCACTTTGTTATGTCTAGTGCAATCATCTAGACTCATTTGAGCCGTTTTTAATGGTTACTAAATTATTGTTTGACTCTTTCATCATTACAGAGACCATCAAGTACATCTGTGTAATTTGTATTGGCTTTCTTATTTTTTTCTTCCCAACTTAAGCAAATTTGTTATGAAAATCCCTGACGTTAGCAATTGACAGTTCATATTAAAAAGTGAGGCAAATTAAACGATTTCATTAAACAAAAGTAGAGTGGTAATGGTTACATTAGCTTGTCTATAATTTCTATTAAACGATTTAAAGCTTTATCCCATCACAAAATCGACAAAAGAAAAAGATTTGTCTATTACGTGTATTTATTTCTTAAGGTTTGGCGATATTTTTGTCAAAGGCTGTTAATCCAGAATATAAGGCATTTTGTAACAAAGTTCCACGTATGTCCCGATATCGGTCACATTCGTTATGATAGATAATGCAACTACAGTAACAATGCTACAAGACACCTATCGCATTAGCTCCGATAATGTTTTTACTTTGTGTCAATGTACAGAAGCTCTGTCTTGTTACCAGATCATTGTACGACAGAAAAAGAATTCGGTAATCACATATTAGTGAGAGGAGGGAGAGGATTTTAAAATATTGTGTACTACATAAAGTTTAATTATGTCACGCTAGCGAAGTTGAAAAGGCCGGGAGCGTGGTCTGCAGCTTCTTATATAAGCGGCTAAATATAGCTCGCATAGGGGTTAACTAATTAATGCAGATGTAGCAATCGCAACTACTCGGCCCTTTCCGTAAGTTTTCGGATAAGGACCTCGAACACAATAGTATGAATACACAGAACGGATGCGGTATTTCGGTCTAACCTACGCTAAGAAACTAAACATGTAAACAAATAGTAATTTAATGCTGGGAGTTGTTTACAAGTTTATTTCTAATATATGTAGTAAACGTTCACCTAAAATAAGTGATATCATAGGTACAAAAGCAAACAATTCATTATTTATATATTTATTATTATGGTTGTAGAAACCGAAAGTACAAAAAACCAACCTGTTGACATTTCGTCGGATTTGTTTAAAATTGAACATCAGTGGGCATATTTGAATTAAAAATTGTTGTCAGACAAATTTTCAAGCAAAAGAGTACCGGAACAGGCATTAGATGTCAAATATATACATTCGTTTTACATTATCTCTGTTTCTGTTTACATCTGAAACCACGTGTTAGAACTACTTTCAATCCGTATTGTTTCCGAGGTTAATATTGTAGATAATAGCCGAGGCAGTTCCGAATGGCAGATGTAGTACCATCGTTTTTGGAAGGAATAAATCGTTTAAACTTTTAGCGTTAAAACTGTGCAGTATCTAATGGATTATTTTATAAAACTATAAAAGCAGTAAAATGCTGATGTTGTTTTCGTAAACTAATAGATCTGTTGCATGGAATTTTCATGTAATATAATGTATATGAAAATTATACGTAAACAGAATAAAATGTTACGGAACAAAATAATCCAGAGCTGTTTAGTATGTTTAGCGATGCTTTCATGCATTTCATTTTCATTTTCAAATAAATATACGGGTAAATTTTATTTCTTAAATTAAAGACAATGTAAACAGTAATATTACAATTTATCGACAGCAAAACTTTAGCTTTAAACACTTAAATTGTAACTGTAGTGTTGGTACTTTTATTGAAGCGTATTCTTATTCTATATAAGCTTGTAATGTATAATGTTTTAGAAATGCTGTTAACCATTGCATTATTAATTCAGCACGTCATAAAATTGTATTGTTTTAGGTGATAGCGTCCGACAGAGATCACGTGTTTAATGTCGGTACATTTGATCAACTTCCCCAGATTCACCAAGACATTGTGGATAAAATTTGTGCAAGTATGCTCTTGTTTATATTTCAAATTAATTTTCAAATTCACCAAACCTTATACATTGTTTTAGACTTTAAAATAACCCAAACTGTAGAAAATAGAATCGTGTAAAACTTTAGATAGCACTGATAGCTGTTAACTTATGTTATTCTAGTGATTGTTTTAGTAGGTATATACCACAAAATATTGCATTATTCAAACGATGATAAAGAATATCCTAAGACGACATTTTCTGTCTCACACATTTTAATATCTGACATTATTCGAGAGCATTTGATTGATATTTAACTATAAAAACAATTCCGAGTTTTAGTTTTTCATCTTTTAAGCAGGTACAACGTATTGTTTTAGCATCTATACCAAATGTTTTGACATCTATATTTCATATTATAGCTGCTAAAAGAATTACAACGTCGACATCGACTACAACTACAACGACCACCTTACCACCTACCACAACGAAAGCTGGTCTGTTCCATTACTGACGAATACATTTTTGCTAATGCGACTAACGCTTCTATAGGCTTTAGACTTCCATAAAAGTTTTAACATATTAACTTTATAACCAATTTTAACGAAAAATAATCAACGGCTGTAGGTATTTTCAATATTAAAGAATTACACCTTTTTGTGAAAGATAATGTTTAAATTGTAAGAACTTCATATCACTCGTTAGTTTACTCGTCAGGATTTAATGAATAATAGAAATCACACTTGATAAGAATATATCAAATGGATTGACGTTAAATATAAGCAAAGGGAGATAATTAAATTAAATGTGTTCAACTCAAAGTTGCATTGTTTGAATGTAAATACATGTGTAGAATGTAAACAGTTAAAATTATAAACAATAATTTATATTGAAATTCTCTTTTGTTTTAAAATTACAGCCTGTGGACTAAAGCCAGCTGACATTGTCTTCGTGCTCGATTCATCAGATAGTGAAGGTGCAGACAATTTCAAAACCGAAGTAGACTTTGTCTACGACTTTGCCGCGCAGTTTTCCATTGGGGCCAATAACGTCCAGTTTAGCGTTGTCACTTTCTCCTCTGATATTCGTAATGACTTTTTCTTCAACAAGCATCATCACAGACACACTGTTCTTCAAGCTATCCGTAATATTCAGTACATGGGCCAAGGAACGAACACATCCGGAGCGTTGAACTTTGTGCGCACGCAGAGTCTACTTCCGTTGCATGGGGCCAGGACTAACTCATCCAAGTTCGTAATTGTAATCACTGATGGACGTTCAGATAACCAAAATCAGACTAAACTGGAAGCGAATCTTCTGCACAAGCAGGCACAAGTAATCTCTGTAGGGATTGGACCAGCTGTCGACAGAGCAGAACTAGCAAACATCGCCTCAAACCACCATGTTGTAACAGTAAACAGCTTTGCGCTGCTCAAAACAATCAAAAGACAATTAACTGATCTGGCATGTGAATCAGGATGAAGTTCTAAATTGTACTGAAAATAAACATAATGAAGTCATGTTCTGTTCAATATTATCCATTTATCATAGATACTCTTTTTTACATTTTATATCCCAGTATATATACATTTCGAACTGTCATAAAAATCCAAATTAGGGTAAAAAAGTATAAGGTATACCATTTCAGTTATGTAGTTTTTTCATAAACAACACATTTCCTATACAAGGGAAGTCTGGAAAGTTCAGATACTTCTTCAGTTTATAACAATACATACGTTGTACAAATATTGTCAGCAAAGATATACATATCTACTAATATGTCTAGCGAACACATGTATCATCAATTCCTGAACTGTGACTTACTTTTTTTATTTTAACAGTATTTACATACTTAAATTTAAATTCATATTTAAAATTATTATTTAAACAAATGTGTCACTGGTTCCAATACAGTGTGTGAGATGTCTCCCATTTTCAAAGGTTGTTGTAAAGCAACCTATGATATTTCGGCCATGCTACTTTGAGTCTTGTCAAGTTGCCTTTAACATTTTATGGTTGTTTTTTTTTCTGTGGAACCCAGTTAAATGGTTACCCCATTAATTTCCCCGTCATTGGCATGATAGGGGTCGAGGAGCATCCTCCTTTCAGCCTTACAATGATGCATGTATATATCTGATATCCGACAAAATAAGAAGCAGTACAGATAATGTGATAAAAATTCGCAAAGGTATCATCAACCTGACCGAAATAAGAAAAGTGACAAAATTGAAAAGCGAACTAACTCTTTATGAATTAATTCTATAATTTCAATTGAGTTGAGTCCCATACATTAAAGCTAATATTCATACAAATTACAAAATCTTAAAAAATTCTGTCACTGTAACGTCTTTTTTTCTACACTTGTATTCAAATTTGTATTTTATATCATTGAACAATTTTCTTAACAAAATAGGAACAGGTTGATATGAATAATAATTGTACATATAAAATAACGTGTTGGAGTCAATCCCCGTCGCTATAACAACCCTTATAACTTTTCTCGCGGATTAACAATTTGATAGAATAGTATAATTTTAAGTTTTCTTTATGAGCAGTAGATTAAAATATGCATTTAAATCAACTCACGACTTATTTAATTGGAAATGGTAAATGTTTTACACGGTTCCTTTTATAATTTGCCAAACACCGTTTAGTTAAAATGTAAAATCAAAATATGAGCCGCGTCACGACTAAACCAACATAGTGCGTTTGCGACCAGCATGGATCCAGACCAGCCTGCGCATTCGTGCAGTTTGATCAGGATCCATGCTGTTCGCTTACAGACCCTATAACAAGTAGAGAAACTGACAGCGGACAGCATGGATCCTGATCTGACTGCGCGGATGCACAGGCTGGTCTGGATCCATGCTAGTCGCAAACCCATTATGTTGGTTCTGTCGTGACGCGGCTCATATGATGTTTAAAGTTTAACAAATTAACGTAGGGACTAGTAACTTAAATACAAGAAAGATGGAATTTAAAAGGCTACTGTATATGGTAAAGAAGACTTGCTAATTTTGTAATGCAGAGTCATAGTTTTCAATTTTATACCAGTTTTTAGATGATTGCCTTTGAAGATATAGCAAAGTTCAGTCAGTAAATTATGCTATTACTTGGCATATAAAATTCATAATATGCGCATATAGTTACGAGCAATTATGCTTATAATTTACGTGCCAGCGCATAGCAATTACATTGTTCTTTAATTCCATCGCTTGAAAAAGTCCTTTGAATGTAAATTGATTGGATTGGTAATAATATAACGAAACCATAAAATCCTACTACTGTTTTGCTCGAAGATTTTATTACTTCTCATATAATGTTTACGAATTTCAATACTTTATCTCATACTGAGAATAACCGATAGAACACAAATGTTCCCAATTCGTATTAAGCAGAAAAAATGCATTTAAAAAACACATAAAAAACTGATTTTGAAGAAGTTGTTACAAAAATTGCCTAAGTTAAACAATAGCTATACAAAAGAATTTTGTAAAACAAAATCTATAATAATAGGCATTTTTTAAAACAAATATCTGTAAAAAAGCATTCTGTAAAACAAAAAGCTACATAAATAGGAATTTTATGACACGCAAGGATGGTATGAGGTAACTTCATCTCTATCATGTTAAAATTGTTCATTTCTAATATCATGCTACAAAGCTTAATACATTGAATTAATAATACAATTTTAAATTATTAAAAATTAGATAAATTATATATCCTTTTTTCTTTTCATACTGTCCTAGCATGAAGGAAACAAATAAGAGATGAAATTTAATTGATAAACACAAAAGTTAACAAAACGCAAAGCTTTCCATCGTTATAAAGTAATGGTTTTAGTCAACGGTCTCTTGCCCTGTTCGAACTTTTTATAAAAGAAATATACATATTTACCTAAATTGTGCCTTCTATGACCCCTTACTAAGTACAAGTGTCGTTTTACTTTACATATTTCGTTTTCAATCAAGAATGAAAGGTAATGTGCTCTAGACATGTTACAAAACACCATCGATTTGATAATGTTATACAAGTGTGAATGAAATAGATCAAAACGGAGTCCCTAAAGAATGCCTAAAACGGCAAAATTGAAAATGTAAACACTTGGCAATAGAAAGGTCTGTTAGACTTTACGCTTTACTTTTCGCGAACGAACTTTTTATCTGTCGGAGGTAACGGAATCTTAGAATCTGGGATATGACCTGTATACATGATGGACATGTCTCTTACGACATACGACAATGATCACAAAACGTTGAACATTTTTTCATCAATTTGACATTGCTGAAAGGGGCAACATTCAGTTTATTTGACACGAGGGACTGGATTTTTTTTTCGATGCTATTGTCTGTAAGTCTAGACCAACAACTTTTTGCAAAATTTACGAAATTCGCTCACTCCGTTGCTCCATAATTATTATTATAATTGTGACAAATGGTCCACACTTGAAAAACATTGTAACACTTTTCATTCACAATAAGATTGAAAATAGCACAAAATATGTAAAAAAAAAAAAACAATTTTAATTTGTATTTTTGATTATATTTCATAAATATCTCTTGCATGTCTGTCTGATTTTTGTGTGCAGCTGATTAAAATTTTATGTTTCTAGGCTGTTGGACCTCATTGGATTCCTTTGAAGGTTACTGTGTAGTAAATACCCTTCCGATGTCTAGACCATTTCCTTCATTATGGATTTATATAAATGCTCAGCAAATGCTGTTTTCCCCCATCTCTTTATCAGTGACATGTCCAAACAGGACTTTCATTAATGAAAGTACATAATGCACGACATATATGTATAATGGTCACCAACATTTTCATGATTTATGCCTACAGAATAAAAGGTTTTGATTGTTCCTTTATTTCCATTTCCCATCTCACTATCACCAAGCTTTAACATTGATAATTTTAATTTTAATGTTGCTTTTGTGGTGTTTTTATATTGTTGCTGTTGTTGTTCAAAACATTTTCTGAACATGAACCATCCCTATAAGTCTCAAATAAAACTATAAACATGTATAGTTTTAACGGGATGTTTTGTAGGATATTACTTATTCCATTGCCGCTATTAAGTTTGAATAATCTATGATATCATCGCTATTTAACAATGTTCATACCTCGCACCATCGATGTATTAAAATATGTGTGTTTATTGTTAATGTCTTATTGATGTATTCACTTCACTCAGCCATTTCCGTTGCGCACTTCAAATTTCTAAAGCGAGCAGCTTGTAGCTCATTAAAGATTGATAATTTGTGAATATATATACATTGATTAACACTATATCAACGAACTTAATGACACATGGCCGGGCAAGATAACTCTCTGAATATGAATACAAAAGTCATAAATTTCTCAGCCTGAGTAATACGAGGCAATATTGTTATAAAGCCTACAACTCCTGTGCTTCGGGCACAACAACCCTACCTAGCGCGTAGCTTCGTCGGTCATAAAAATGTTAAGTGATCATCACTGAATAAAAATATGACGTCGTTATACCTGGATATTACAAATTAATCCTTATCCTTCAGTCTTTTGAGAGTCTGTATCTTAAGACAGGTTATAGAAACATTATTTCTATTGGCCTTAACCAATATCGTGCTCTGTGAAACATTTGCATGCTTAGTTGGTGGAACAAATACCAAAGTATCAGATGGCTAGAATTATTTCGATATAGAAATCATATAGTTACATGGACATTTAAAACAACATTTACGGTTCAAATATTTAACATACTAGAGAATAAATAAGCCATGACATCACACCAGCACCAAGGGTAACACAAAGAGAGAGGACTCATTTCTTTTGTGGTCATTTGTGTTGGTGGCATGACATATTCGTTTCTGATTTATGATGCACATATGGCTACAAGAAGTTATTTTCCATTAGGAAAGATGAAAAGTCACCATGTGACCATAACGTGTCGCTGTGACTTAATACCTAAACTGATGGAATTTAAGAACAACCGAGAATGTAAATGACGTCAACCAAATAATACCCAAACGAATTGGTACACGAGTTGATCATATAAAGCACACACATTATGTCGGTTTCATATTCCAGTTTACTTACAAAGAACGGAACGAAAATGACAAAATAAACGAACTGGGTAATATATACGACTCGGTCCAGTCAAATTTCTATGTTCTATAGTAAATCAGGCCCATTTGAGGCTTCACTTTGGATTCGACTGTTCTTGATTATTTAT